AATTTCTGTTTAATTTTATTTATTGTCATTATTTTATTTTTTTGAAGTTGACCGGAGAGAGACAGAGAGAGAGAAGGAAAGTGAGAAAGCAAGCTGCCAGGTCCAGGACTCGAACTCTGGTCAGCTATGTGGTCAGCTATGTGGTCAGCTATGTGGGAGTCCAGCTGCCTTAATCACCATGCCACCTCCTGACCCCTGTTTCCTACTTTTTTTGGAGAGTTTTTTTTTGCTATAGGGCTTCATGGGCTCGCCAGCCAGCCAGCCAGACAGACAGAGACTGAAAGTGAGAAATCACACCCCCTGGGGGATGGCCACGCCGCAATCCCTTCTCCTCCATTCTCCTCTCGGGATCTTGGGCATGCATGCACATGCACCCGGCGTGCGTTTTAAGCCACTGGGTCTGGGACGCGAATCGTGGTCGACTACGTGGGAGTCCAGCGACATAGCCATTATGCTAACTGTTGGTCCCGTGTTTCCTACTTTTTAAAATAGCACAAGAACATCAGCATCAAGCTTTGAACTAGCTCATACCAAGGAACATGTTTTCCTTCTGAATTTCATTTCGGTTGTAATTTTCATTCTGACTTGACTTTTTTTTTTTTCTTTAAAGAGGGTTTTGCTGTAGGGCACGTTCGCTTGCCAGAAAAACAGAGACAGAGAGATAGAAAGCGAGAAATAACCACCACCACCACCACCACCACCACCACCCGGCGGGGATGGCCCCGCCGCAGTGCCTTCTCCTCCATTCTCCTTTTGGGATCTTTGGCATGCACGTACACGTGCCTGTGTGAGTTTAAGCCACCAGGTCCGGGACTCAAACCGTGGTCGACCACTTGGGAGTCCAGCGACATAGCCATTACGCTAACTGCTGGTCCTGAATTGACTCTTGATTATACCCTTCCCCTCACCTTTGTCAGCCTTTCTTCTCTTATAGCACCCTTCTTTCCATTACAGCTTTAAGTGTGGTGGTTAGAGGTTGGTGTATAGAGAGAGAGGAGTTAATTTAGATACATTACTGTGGCTTCACAACCATACCGTCTCTTGGCCTTCTCCTTCCTGATGTTAAATTGATTTGCACCTTTCTTTTAGGTAAGAAAAGTTATTCATTTCAAACAAGGGGAAGCTTTCTCATTTCTGTTTTTTTTTTTTTTTTGAGAGGTTTTTGCTATAGGATGTGTGCATTCACCAAAGAGACAGAAAGTGAGAAATCACCCCCCAGGGGAGACGGCCATGCCGCAATCCCTTCTCCTCCATTCTTTGAGGAGATTGGGCATGCACGCACATGCGCCTGGTGTGAGTTTAAGCCACTGGCTCCGGGACTCGAACTGTAGTCAACTACATGGGAGTCTAGTAACATAGCCATTACACCATCTGCTGGTCCCCTGTTCATTCTTTTTATAATTTTTTATAGATATAGAATGATAAAAGTGTAACTCTTTACATTACAATCTCAGTTCTCATCTTATTCTTTGACATCTTCAGTCCCTAGTTCTTCAGTCCAGCTCTTTTCCTCTCAGCAGTGTGCACTACTGTGCTATCTCTCTGTATGTACCTACTTCCTGGCATTGCCCCCTAGCTTCTGATCCTACCCTTGATGTCTATTGCTGATCTCTTCCAAACGTCTAGTGTGTATTTTTTTTTTTTAATTTAATTTTTTTTTTGGAGAGATTTTTGCTATAGGGCGCATGCACTTGCCAGAAAGAGAGAGACAGAGAGACAGAAAGCGAGAAATCATCCCCCGGGGGGATGGCCTCGCCACAATCCCTTTTCCTCTCGGGATCTTGGGCATGCACACACACGCCCCCCGCGTGAGTTCAAGCCACTGGGTCCGGGACTTGAACCACAGTCCACTACATGGGAGTCCAGCGACATAGCCATTGTGCTAACTGCTGGTTTGTATTTTTGTTGGCCTCATTTGTGCTTTCATCTAGATGTCTCAGGAAGACAGGAATCTCAGAATTAAATTTCACCACTTGGGGGCTGGTAGGTGCCATGATAGCTAGAGAGTTGAACTCCCACATGGCTGACCATGTTTTGAGTCCCAGACCTGGTGGGTTGCTTTCTCATTTCTCTCTCTTTCTCTGTCTCTCTCTGATGAAAACTGGGAAATAATAGTAATAAAGTTAAATAAAAAATAATTTTTTAAAAAAGATTTCATCCCTGTTGCTGTTCAAACTCCTATTCTTTCCTTTATCATCTCTCTCTCTCTCAAATAAATAAATAAATAAACAAAAATATCTATCTAATCTATCGAGACTGGCAGGTGTTGTGGTGGTTAAGGGCGCTGGACTCCCACATGACTGACTGCAGTTTGAGTCCCAGACCTGGCGGCTTGCCTTCTTACTTTCTCACTCCTCTCTCTGACTTTCTCTCTGTCCCTCTCTGGTCAAATTAAAATAAATAAATAGGAGACCAGCAGTTGGTGTAATGACTGTGTCGTGGACTTCCATGTGGTTGACCGTGGTTCAAGTCCTGGACCCAGTGGCTTAAACTCAACGCTGGGTGCATGTACTTGCGTGCCTGAGATCCCAAGAAGAGAATGGAGGAGAAGTGATTGCTGCGTGGCCATCCCCCCAGGGGGTGATTTCTCTCTTTCTGTCTCTCTGACTCTCTGGTGAGCACAGGCGCCCTATAGCAAAAACCTCTCTAAAAATATATAAATAAAAAGATAAAGTTAAATAAAATAATTCTTAGAAAGTGTTGTTGGGACCAGCAGATGGAGTAATGATTATGTTGCTGGACTCCCATGTAGTCAACCATAGTCTGAGTCCCAGTCCCCGTGGCTTAAACGCACACTGGGTGCATGTGCATGCATGCCCAAAATCCCAAGAGGAGAATGGGGGAGAAGGGATTGTGGCATGGTCATCCCCTCTGGTGGGTGATTTCTTGCTTTCTGTCTCTGTCTCTCCAGCAAATTCATGCGCCCTATTGAGAAAAATCTCTCTTAAAAAAAAAATGTGCCATCATGGTGATATGAACACAATATTGTAAGAGCATGGAAAATAAAACCACTTTATCTAGTGACATTTAGAACTTTTTCCTATTATATCTTTACAAGTTTATTTTTCTTGTACTTCACAAGATTTTAAAGAACATGACTGAGTTTTTTTGTATAATGAATCTCTCAATGGTGTATCATACATGGTGGGTTTCTTGAAATAAAACTACAAATTAATGTCTCCAGGCTTCCTCATCCAGTCAGCCATCTTGCTATATTCTTCTCACTTCTTTCCAACCATGCTACATTTTTTTTTTTTTTTTTTTTAGGAGTGGTTTTTGCTGTAGGGCGTGTGCGCTCGCCAGACAGAGAGACAGAAAGCGAGAAATCACCCCCCAGGGAGGATGTCCATGCTGCAGTCCCTTCTCCTCCATTCTCCTCTTGGGATCTTGGGCACGCATGCACACACGCCCGGCATGAGTTTAAGCCGCCGGGTCTGGGACACGAACCACGGTCGACTACGTGGGAGTCCAGTGACATAGCCATTACACTAACTGCTGGTTCCCCAACCATGCTACATTTTTTTTACTCTTCAATAATTAAACAGAATTTTATTATTTCTATACCATTGCACATATAGTTCATTTTTAGAAAACACTTCCATGTCATCTCCCTTCCCTCTGCTTAGGTAATCTTTCATTCATCTTAAATCTTTGTTCAGATTATACCTTTCTGAAATATTTGCAACTTCAAAGACTATAATAAACATCTAGTAAATAATATTAAAGGGATAAATCATGGAAGGTGTTTTTCTCTTTTCATTCTCTTCTGGACAGATTGCTAAGTATTGTCTCACTTTTATTTTAAATAATTATTTAATTTTATTATTATTATTTTAACATTTGCTACAGAGTACATGCACTCACCAGATAGAGGCAGTGTGAGAGAGTGAATGATAGAAGTGAAAAAGCAAGCTGCCAGGTCTGGGATTTGAACCGCATTCAGCCATGTGGGAATGCCTTAACTACCATGCAACCTGCTGGTCTCCTCTTCACTTCTTTTCTTTTTTTTTTTAATATTTTTTAGAATTATTGTATATTTTTTAACTTTATATATTTTTAATTTGACCAGAGAGGGACACAGAGAAAGAGATGAGACATTAGGTACAGGACTTGAACTGCGGTTGTCCATGTGGGAATCCAGTGCCCTTAACCACCATGCTACCTGCTGGCCCCCTTTTCATTCTTTTTTCAAACAAATTTCTTTCTTTCAGATGACCAGTGGGTTGTACGGTGTTAAGGTGCTGGACACTCCCATATGGCCAACCATGGTTCAAGTCCTGGACCTGCTGGCTTGCTTTCTCAAATCTCTCTCACAGTGTCTCTCTCTGGTCAAGTTAAAATAAATAAATGAATAAATAAGATAAAAAATAAATTGTTAAAAAGAAAGAAATTTCTTTCTTTCTTATTTTTAGAGAGATTTTTGCTATTGGGCACATGCACTCACCAGAGAGATAGTGAGAAATCACTCCCCAGGGCAGATGGCCATGCTGCAGTTCCCCCTCCATTGTACTCTTATGATTTTGGGCACTCATACACATGCACCAGGTGTGTTTTAGCCTCCGGGTTTGGGACTGAAACCATGTTCAACTACATGGGAGTCCATTGATGTAACCATTATGCTATCTTCTGGTCTCTCTTGACTCTTTTTAATCAACATACCAGGAATTCTTTTTTTAGTTTGTCACAGGGCCTGTGCACTTGCCAGAGAAAGACAAGGAAAGAGAGAAAGCACTTTTCAATGGGGTGTGGTCATGCTGCATTCACTTTTCTTCCATTTGTCCATTCTTTTGGGATTTGGGACTTGCCCAGTGGGTTTTCAGATTTCCAGGGCTGGGATTTAAACTACACAGTTGGTCATGGGAGACGTGATCCCTTTAACCACTAGGTTATGGTGCCAGCCCATGGAACTCAACACTGCATGTAATAGGGGCAATACTCCATGACAAGGATCTCAAGTGTAATTCTAGGACTGTCAGTAATGTTTTTCACTCACTCATCAGGTGCCAATGAGCTGGCTGTGCAGAAGGCAAAGGCAGAAATCACCAGGCTTATAAAAGAAGAACTGATCCGACTGGTGAGTAAAATACTTCAAAGGCTTGGGAGGTTTTTTTTGTTTTGTTTTGTTTTTCTTTTAAAAATTTTATTTACTAAGTGTTTTATAGAACAAGAATATAAATACAAATACACAAAATAATAAACATGTAGCCCAATGAATATTCACAAATTAATAAGCATACCGATGTAATCACCACACAGATCAAGAAATATGCAATGTCAGTAGCTTCTCAGAAGCCTTTCCTATGTCCCTGCTTGTCACTGTTCATGTCCCCCAAGTGTAACCATGGTTTTTTTGTTTTTTTTTTAGTGTAACTCTGTTTTATGACTTGTAAACTTGATTAGTTTTGCCTGGTTTTGAACCCTAAGTAGAATTTATGTTTTATACTCCTTTGTATCTAGTTTCCTTCGTTCAACATCATTTTGAGGAGATCGGTCCATGTTGTAATATCTACCCATTGTTTTCATGACTGTACAGTGTTTATATGTATAACAATTTATGTCCTATATTAAACTTTGGGATTATTCTAGTTCTTGATTTTTATGAATAACAGTTCTATGAACATTCTTCCATGTCACTGGTGTACATTAGTATGCTCTTTTCTTGGGTATTTACCTTATAAGACTGTTGTTAATTATAGGGGATATATACACATGTACATACACATACACACATATACAATATTTATATGTACATGGGGGACCACCAGGTTGGCATGGTGGGTAAGGTTGTAGACACTCCCACATGGCAGACCACGGTTCAAGTCCTGGACCTGGTGGCTTGCTCTCCCGCTTTCTCTCTTTCTCTCTTCTTGCACTCCTCGCACTGTCTCTCTCTCTCTCTCTGGTCAAATTAAAATAAATGAATGAATAAATTATAAAAATTAAATCAATAAATAGGAATGCTGGACCGAAAGCATCAGGAAAATATAAAAATATATGTATATAAAGCTAATTTTTACAGAGTATATATATATTATATATATAGTTTAGCTTTAGTAGGTATTGCTAAACTGTTTTCCAATAGGTTGTATCAATTATACTCCCTCTATCACCTCATCATATGAAAATTCTAGCTGTTCTCCATCTTTGTCAACACAACCCTGACATGGTCTTGTTAGTGTCTCTAAACTTAGGCCATGATTAGTTTTGATTCTGGGAAAAGCAGCCGTCTGTGGACCACTTTCCCAATGGGCAGGCACCTCCCAGTGTCTAGTGCCAGTCAGAGATTGTCAACTCACCCTACAGCATGCACATGGGGATGAGGGCCCTTTCAAGGGAAACCTTTTTTGTCCCCTGAGAATATGTTTTTTAGGTGTTTTCTAAATTCTCAATTACAGAATATTATTTTGGGCAGGATAAGAGGTTTGAAGAAAGAGAGTATGTAAAACAAGAGGGAATAAAAAAAACAGCCTTTAAATCAAGTGCTTAAGACCACTTCACCAAGGAAATGCCTATAAATGCCATCACTGTTGATTCAGAGAGTTTTCAAGTAGTTGAATGAACAAAGATAAATTGTTATTGAATAACTCCTTCTTAACGCAATACTATTTTTATTATAAATATTTGAGTTTTATAAATTGTCAAAGGAAGTAACCTTAAATGTATCTTTTTAATTTTTCTTTTTCTTACCATGTATCTTTTATTTTCTATTATAGCAAAATTCATACCAACCAACAAACAAAGGAAGATACAAAGTCTTATAATCATCTGCAAAAAAACCTTTTTCCTGTGCTGACCTGTGATACACGTGACAATGTTGTCTGCAGTTTACAGTGTATTGTAAATTAGGATTTTTAAAATTCTGTCTTGCTGATGTTTTTAAATACAAGAATCCAGTATTTGCTAAAGAAATCTGTCAGGAAGTACCCCCACAATTAATCAAACTATTTAAAGAAACATTGTTTTCAGAATATGATGCTCTCTAAAAGAACACTTAAATATCAATATTTTAAATATCTGGAAATATTTTAGAGGCTTGAAAAATGAAAATATTTGGACTTTCTATTGAAGGTAATAAAGTACACGTCACAGAGGGCTATTCTCCTTATCCTATACTTTCAGTGAAATTGTGATCATCTTCTGAGAAAAGGTAAAATTCTCTGTCATATTTTGTGTCGTCATCCCTATGAGTTTAAATGTTGCTTGATTCAGTGGAACAGTATGAACTGGATTTAGAAATGTTACAATAGAAATTTGGCAAAATAGGTTCAGAGTTTTTGTTTCCATTTTTATCATCATAAGTGGGCAATACTTGGACTACTTTTGGTTTTGTAAAATTAAAGATTTATAGTATAAGTATTTTTTGCATTTCTTGATACTGAGTATAAAGACTCTACGAAGAGCTTTAGTATTTACTACTTTTAGGTTCCCTTTGCAACCTCTGGCTCCATGCCTAGCTACTAACTCTTTTTCAAATCTTCCTTTAAAAAGTGACTGTAGTCTATAAATATTAAATATGAATCCTTTATCCTCTAAAAGTGTTTGTTTATACATCTATAAATATGGTATGTACAAATACTCTACTACTTTTAATCTGATTTTCCTTCAGGATTATTGAGTAGATTGCATATTTTCTTTCTTGACGCATAATAGTACCCAAGTTTTGGACTTCAGCACCTCTCAATGAAATTTAATTCACAAGGAATCAAAATTTCTATTTTTAAGCCCTGAAGATATTGTTCTTGAATATTCCAGTTTTCATTATTACAATATTACCTAATGTTCTTTCAATATTCTTGGTGTATTAGAACTTCATATAATTGTTACTTCTTGAAGAGTTTGTTCCCCAGGAATTAAATATATACATATATTCCTTGAACCAAGAGACACAGAAGTTCTTGAAATATTCTTAACAGTTTTTTAAAAAGGAAAAAAAAAGATCAAAATGTTCTATAGTTGTTAAGTCATATTAAAACAAGTTACATTCAGTGGCTGAAGTAGCAGGGAATATCACTGTTTCTTCGATATGAAGTTATGTGTCTGAAAAAGTAAGATGTAGCTGGGAAGAATTTTTGGATCCCTCACATCTAATTACTGTCTTGAAAGAGGACAGACAGAATACGTATAGCAGCAAAACCAAATAAATAACTTTCTCTAAAATTCCAGGCACTGTGGGCTCCTTTCCCCCCAGTTTATTTATTTGCTTTGATAGACTATGTGGCAGTCCCACATTGGTGACAATCGGTGCTCCCTTCAGTCCACTGGATCATTTTCACAGATTCGGAGTTTTGCATCATTTTAGCATTTCCTTTATGCTTATATATCCAGTTGCAGAGAGCCAGTGATAGAGAATTTAAAGACCGTATTACTTGGTAGTACATTTGTTGGTGTCATACTGACTGGATCTTAAAGTTTAAATGATGTACAGACTTTTAATTTTTTTTTAATGCAACACAAATATTTGCTCCTGTTTTCTAAATTCCTTACAAAAAATAAAGGTAATCCAATCTGCATTTTTCTAAAATGACTTTTCTTCAGATGCTTTCTGTTTTTTCTGTTTCTCTAATTTGTTTATATTGTTAGGATGTAAGAGGAGAATTATACACTCTGTATTTTTAGTTGAAAATTTTAGCCACTTATTATCCAAAATATTTCCAGTTCTATTCCTAAAGCTTCTTCCTAAAGAAGCCTCTTAGTCTTTGATGTTCTTTGTATTTGGCATAACACAAATATAAGTGAAATAATAGATTTATTTGCCAATTGTAGTTTTAGTACAAAGATAATCTTAGAGGTGTAGAATGAAGGACAGCAGCTAAGCTCTCCCCAGTCCCTTTCGGTACTTTACTAGTTGCTGTATTTTGTGTCTTATTGGCCTCATTGGTATACACTTTCTGTTCACCTGGAGTCAGACGGACCTATGACTGCTGAGCCTTTTTTCTCTTTAAAAAGAATGACTTATTTATTTGTTATTGTTTTTTAATAATTATTTATCTAATTTTATTCATTCATTTACTTTTTTTTTTTTTTTTAATTTGACCAGAGAAAGACAGAAAGAGAGATGGAAAGTCAGAGAGCAGGCCACCAGGTCCGGAATTCAAACCATGGTCTGTCATTTGGGAGTTTCCAGCACCTTAACCACATGCCACCTGCTGGTCCCCCTGTTATTTTTTTAAAAAAAGAATTATGTATTTAATTCCATTTGTTATTGTTAATTTTTAAAAATTTGATAGAGAAGGAGAAAGCGAGAAAGCAAGTCTCCAGGTCCAGGGCTCGAACCGCAGTTGACCATTTGGAAATCTAGTGCCTGTAACCACCATGCCGCCTGTCGGCTCCTTATTTTTAAATTTGACCAGAGAGAGACCGAGAGAGAGAGAAAGAGATAGAGAAAGTGAGAAAGCAGACCACCAGGTCCGGTATTCAAACCGTGATCGGCCATGTCAGAGTCCAGCACCTTAACCACCATACCAGCTGCTGGCCTCAATTGCTGATCTTTCTCTCGAGTGAGTCAGTCGTTACTTATAAAATCATGGTTGTTTTGTTTTGTTTTGTTTTGTTTTCTTAGTTTAGTTTTGCTATATGACATGAGAGGAGGAGTATGGGGAGCAAGGAGCCACACCCTAAAAGGGAGGGCCATGACATAGTCTCTTTTCCTTTACTCTCCTCTTGGAATTTTGGGCACACATGTACACACACCCTAAGTGATTTCAAGCACCTGGGTCCACTCACTCAGCCATGTGGAACTCAGCCACCTTAACCTCCATACCACTTGTTAGCCCCATTATTTGTTTGTTTTAAAGGAAAACCAATTCTTAAATATTCAGGATTTATAAATCCTAGTAAGCCAGCTGTGAGGGGCTGGCAGGTGGCATGGTGGTTAAAGGCACTGGATTCCCACATGGCCAACCATGGTTCAAGTCCTGGATCTGGCAGCTTGCTTTCTCCCTTTCCCTTTTTTTCTCTCTGTGTCTCTCTGGTCAAATTAAAAAATAATAACAAATGGAATTAAGTAAGTAAATAATTCTTTAAAAAAAAAAGGAAAAGAAAAGAAAAACCAACTGTGAAATCTGCTTCTAAATAACACGTTAGCATCCTGAGTATCACAGACCAAAAAGCAAGATCTCCCTCCTCCCTCTGAAGTTGGATCTCAGCTTTGTCTAAGCTCTTTTCTTTGCATTGCCTTGCTGTGCTTTGTAAAGCTATGGCCTTTTTTTAAAAAAAAAAAAAAGAAGAAGAAGAAGAATTATTTATTTAATTCTATTTGTCATTGTCATTATTAATTTTTTTTTTTTTGGAGAGGTTTTTGCTGTAGGGTGTGTGCACTCACCAGAAAAAGAGACAGAAAGCGAGAAATCACCGCCCCCCCCAAAGGGGGGATGGTCATGACACAACCCCTTCTCCATTCTCCTTTTGGGATCTTGGGCATGCACGCACACACACCTGACGTGAGTTTAAGCCACCAGGCCCGAGACTTGAACTGTGATCAACTACATGGGAGTCCAGCAACATAGCCATTATGCCAACTGCTGGTCCCTATTTATATTTTAATTTGATTGGAGAGGGACAGGGTTTGAGAGAGGGGGAAACTGAAAAAGCAAGATGCCAAGTCCAACACTCAAATTGTGGTTGGCCATGTAGGAAGGAGTCCAGCGCCCTCAACTACCATGCCACCTGCCAACCCCCAAGCTATGATCTTTTAGTGACAGATGTTTTGTAACCAAGGAGGTTGGAGAAGGGGAAATGGTAGTTGAAATTAAATCTAGAGAGGGGCCAGCAGGTGGCATAGTGCTTAAGGTACTGGACTCCCACATGTCCAACTATGGTTTGAGTCTTGAAACTGGCAGCTTGAAACTCAGGTCAGGTGCATGTGCGTGCATGCCCAAAATTCTGAGAGGAGAATAGAAGAGAAGGGACTGTGCGTGGCCATCCCCCTGGGGGGTGATTTCTCACTTTCTCTCCATCTCTTCTTTTTCCCTGTAGGCCCACGCACCCTATAGCAAAAATCTCACAGAAGGAAAAAAAAAAAAGAAATAAGAAATCTAGAGTAAATAGCTATATTTTATTGAGTAAAATGTCCCATTTCACTGTTTCATATATCATTCTAAGTTCTTTGTAAAGAATTATTTTATTTATTATTAATTTTTAATTTGACCAGAGAGAGACAGAGAAGGGAGAGAGAGAGAAAGCAAGCCACTTTAACCGTGATTGGCTACATGGAAGTCCAGCACCGTAACCACCAAGCAGCCTGCTGGCCCCCATGCTAAGTTCTTGTAGCAGGCGAGTGTGAGTGACTTAGTCCACTGTGGGCCATCTGATACCTTTCCACTTAGATTTCAGTTTGGAATTGGAGTGTTTTATATCTTGTTACACAGTTTTATGGAAGAATGGGAACCTGCTTTCTCACTTTTTCCACCCTTTCCTCCCTCTCTTCTCTCTCCAGTCACAGCTCATATGTTGACATGTTTCACAAGGAATATAAAATTTATTTATGTGGACACTTAAAGGGTAAGAAATTTAAGGAATAGAGGCCAGCAGGTGGTGTGGTGGTTAAGGACACTGAACTCCCACATGGCTGACCGTGGATCAAGTCCCAGACCAGGCAGCTTGCTTTCTCACTTTCTCTCTCTCTTTCTTTGTCCCTCTCTGGTCAAGTTAAACAAATAAAGTTAAATAATTAAAAAAAAAAAATTGGGGGCAACCAGCAGGTGGCATAATGGCTATGTCTCTGGACTCCCATGTAGTCGACCGTGGTTCAAGTCCCAGACCCGGTGGCTTAAACTCATGTTGGGTGCATGTGCATGCGTGCCCAAGATCCTGAGAGGAGACTGGAGGAGAAGTGATTGCAGCGTGGCCATCCCCCCTGGGGGGTGATTTCTCACATTCTTGCATTCTGTCTGTCTCTGTCTCTCTGGGGAGCACACTGACCCTATAGAAAAAACTTCTCCAAAAAAAATTGCGGGTCCAAGATGACTTTTTTGTATTAGAGAGGTTTTTGCTATAGTGCACATGTGCTCGCCAGAAAGACAGAGAGAGACAGAAGACGAGAAATCACCCCCCAGACGGGATGGCCATGCCGCAATCCCTTCTCCATTTTCATCTCGGGGTCTTAAGGCACTCACACACACGTGCCCAGCGTGAGTTTAAGCCACGGGTCTGGGACTCGAACCACGGTTGGCTACATGGGAGTCCAGTGACATAGCCGTTATGCCAACTGCTGGTCCCCCAAGACATTTTTAACCAACTTTTGAACAGGCATTGGGTAAATTAGCTTAAATAGAAAACACTTTTCCCATAGCATTGCTAAGGTAGTTTAGTCAAGTTGGTGATGCTTGTCCAGTAATGATTTATGCATTGCTCATAATAATTATAATAGTAAAACCCAGGTTGTGCTACATCACAATCCTGCCTCAGCCTCCTAAGTAGCTGGAACTACAGACATGCACCACTACATCCAGATGTTTAAGGTAGCCAGGCAATTGCACCTGGGCCTCCGATGCTGCCTCAACTGCCGAGTAGCAGCATCTACCAATGTGCAGTACGGCCGTGGAGCTTGTAGTGGCATTTTTCTCATGTCTTTTACCTCTGGCATAGAAAATTGGAGTATATCCTTAAAAAGGTGTGTGTGTGTGTGTGTGTGTTAGTGAAAGGAAGGAGAGAGAAAGATACTTAGTATATATGCTGGTGGAAAGGTCATGGGGTCTTTTTATTTACTAGGTCATTTTTTTAATTTTAAGTATAACCATCAGAAAACCTTAAAGGGAGCCAGTAGGTGGTATATTACTTAAGACTCTAGATTCTAATGGCTGACCACAGTTTGAGTCCCAGACTTGACAGCTTGCTTTCTCTCTGTCTCTCTGGTGAGCACTTCTTCCCTATAGCAAATTTTAAAATAATAATAAAATGAAATCAATAATTATTTTAAAAAATAAGAAAACCTTAAAGAATGTAATATTATGGGGTGGAGTATGTAACTTAAACTGTAACAGCATCATCTTACATATCATGTAATGAAATATCAATCCTACTCTTAGGCCAGCTCTTTGGAGTTATAAAAGTGGCTGCATTTTCTCACTGGGTAAAGATTTGCTAATATGTTGGCATTTGTGGATTTTTTTTTTTTTAGAGGTTTTTTCACTATAGGGCGTGTGTACTCGCCAGACAGAGAGACAGAGAGACAGAAAGCGAGAAATCACCCCCCCGAGGGGATGGCCACGCTGCAATCGCTTCTTCTCCTCTCGGGATCTTGGGCAAGTATGCACACGTGCCCGGCGTGGGTTTTAAGCCACCGGGTCCAGGACGCGAACCGCAGTCTACTACGTGGGAGTCCAGCGACATAGCCATTACGCTAACTGCTGGTTCCCGGCATTTGTGGATATTTTAATGCTTCTGTTTTTCTGTATCAATTTATAATTTGCTTTGTGGCGTAGGTGGTATGAATGTGTATGGGTGCATACTAACAAGTCACAGCACTGGTGAAGAATTTATCTTTATTTTTTATTTTTTATTTTTAAGTTTT